ACATTATTGCAAAACGGAGGTAGAGGTGGTGGAGGTGGAGATGGTGATGGAGGGGGTGGAGATGGAGAAAGTGGTGGAGGTGGAGATGTAGAAGGAGGAGGTGGTGGAGATGGTGAAGGTGGAGGTGGAGATGGCGATGGGGGAGGTGGTGGAGGAGATGGAGATGGATAAGGTGGTGGAGGAGGCGAGAAATCGACTGGAGGTGGTGGAGGTGGAGATGGTGATAGAAGAGGGGGGGAGTTTATTAGAGGTGGTGGATGTGGAGATGGTCCATCGATAGGTGAAGGCAATGGAGATGGAGATGGTCCATCGATAGGTGCAATTAATGATGGCAATGGAGATTGAGACGGAGAAGGTCCATTAGTAGGTGCAATTAATGGTGGTGATGGCAACGAAGATGGTCCATCAGTAGGCTCAATCATTGGTGGTGATGACAATGGAGATGGTCCATCAGTTTTTGCTATGAACGATGGTAATGGCAACAGAGATGGAGATGGTCCAACGGTAGGTTCGATCAATGGTGGTGATGGCAATGGAGATGGAGATGGTCCATTGGAAGGTGCAATTAATGTTGGTGATGGCAATGGAAATGGAGATGGACCATCAGTAGGTGCAATCAATGGCGGTGATGATAATGGAGATGGTGCATCGGTAGGTTCAATCAATGGTGGTGATGACAATGGAGATGGTCCATCAGTAGGTTCAATCAATGGTGGTGATGGCAATGGGGATGAAGATGGTCCATCGGTAGGTTCAATCAATGTTGGTGACGGAGATGGAGATGGTCCATCTGTAGGTGCAATCAATGGTGGATATGGCAATGGAGATGAAGATGGAGATGGTCCATCACTAGGTTCAATCAATGGTGGAGATGGCAATGGAGATGGTCCTTCGGTAGGTTCAATCAATGGTGGTGATGGCGATGGAGATAGTACAACGGTAGGTTCAATCAATGGTGGTGATGGCAATGAAGATGGAGATGGTTCATCGGTAGGTTCAATCAATGGTGGTGATGGCGATGGAGATGGTCCAGCGGTAGGTTCAATCAATGGTGGTGATGGCAATGGAGATGGAGATGGTCCATTGGTAGGTTTAATCAATGGTGGTGATGGCAGTGGAGATGGTCCATTGGTAGGTGAAATCAATAGTGGTGATGGCAATGGAGATGGAGATGGAGATGGAGATGGTCCATCGGTAGGTTCAATAAATGGCAATGGAGATGGTCCATCAGTAGGTGCAATCGATGGTGGTGATGTCAATGGAGATGGTACATTAGTAGGTGAAATCAATGGTGGTGATGGCAATGAAGATGGTACATCAGTAGGTGAAATCAATGGTGGTGATGGCAATGGAGATGGAGATGGAGATGGTTCATCGATAGGTTCAATCAATGGTGGTAATGGAAATGGAGATGGTCCATCAGTAGGTTCAATCAATGGTGGTGATGGCAATGGTGATGGAGATGGTGATTGTCCATTAGTACGTTCAATCAGTGGTGGTGATGGCAATGGAGATGGTCCATCAATAGGTGCAATCAATGGTGGTGATGGAAATGGAGATGGTGGTGGAGATGGCCCATTAATAGGTGCAATCAGTGGTGGTGATGGAAACGGAGATGGAGATGGTTCCTCGACAGGTGTAATCAATGGGGGTGACGACGATGGAGATGGAAGTGGTGGTGGAGGAGAATGGATTGGTGGTGGTGGATTATGGTAATAAGGTGGCGATGGATATGGAGTAAATGGTGGTGGAGGATTATTGTAATAAGGTGGCGGTGGAGATGGAGACAGTGGTGGTGGTGGTGGAGATTCTTTATGATATGTCGGAGGTGGTGGTGGTGGATGATGGTAATAATTTGGTGGGGGAGGTGGAGAAGGCGGTAGTGGATATTTGTAATAATGTGGAGGAGGTGGTGATGGTGATGGAGGTGGAGGTGATTTATAATAGTGACGGTATCGCGGAGGAGGCGGTGGAGGTGATCTATAATAGTAACGACGTCGTGGAGGAGGAGGCGGGGGCGATTTATAATAGTAACGACGTCGTGGAGGAGGCGGTGGAGGCGATCTATAATAGTAACGACGTCGTGGAGGAGGAGGTGGGGGAGATTTATAATAGTAACGACGTCGCGGAGGAGGTGGTGGAGGCGACCGTGGCCTATAACGGTATGACAAAGATGATGAATCATCAATATGAGGCTTATAATCAGCTGCTACACTAATAGCTATCAAGCAAAAGGCAAAAGCATACACAAGAAGGGGCCATTGCCCCAACTTTGATGGTGTTCCCATGTTGGAACCAAACTAGTTTGTTGTTTTTGCAACATTGATGGAAGAATTAGCTCTTTATATAGCAAGAGACCCAAACATTTGATAAAGACAAGTTAATTTTTTTGTAACAAAATTAAAGTGGCTCAAAACATTTAGAAAAACAAGTATGGTTTCATTTGGAAGAGGAAAGTACAAACTGGCCAAATGATCTATGAAAAATACACACTAAGTATATGGAATCTCATCTTAATATTATGAAATAGAGTCCTACTAAACTATGGGTTTAGTTCACGATAGACTATGAATTAGTCAAGATCAAGAGTATGTATCATTGTTTAGTATTTGCACTTTACATATAAATTTGTTTGACTTTTAGAGTGTGTTTGGTAAGAAGGAAAACATTTTTTGGAAAATGTTTTCCAATTTTTTCATGTTTGGTTGGGGCAAAGGTTTTGGAAAATATTTTCCAAATCAACTCATTTTTATCAAAATTAAGAAAATGACTTCCCTTCAAAAATTAAGAAAAACATTTTTCAAATCTCTCCTCCAATTTCAAATTATATTTTTTTTGGGAAAAAACATCAATTTTAAAAAAAATATTTTCAATTTCAAAATTTTATTTTTTTCACCCGACTTCTGACCCCTCCCCCCAACACCACCGCCTCTCCAAAAAATTAATTTTGCTTTTTAAAAGTATTTTCAAGTCCAAATTTTTATTTTTAAGCTCCTACCTCTCCCCCCCCCGGCTAGCTCCTACCCACCCCTACCAGCCCCCTCACCCCCACCCCAACCCCCAAAAATATTTTTTTTTAAATACTATCAATTTTAAATTTTTATTTTTTCACTCCTACCCACTCCCTCTGCCCCCCTACCCCCACCCCTTATCACCACAACCCAAAAAAAATTGTTTTTAAAAAATATTTTCAATTTCATAAATTATTTTGTATTCTAGTAAAAATAAAAGATGTTCCTCAAAAATATTTTTCATTCATAAATCAAACACTAAAAATCATTTTCGAAAAATATTTTTTACTCACCAACCAAACATGAGAAAATAAGTCCAAAATCTACTTGTTTTCCAAGAAAACATTTTTCATGAAAAACATTTTCCTTCGTACCAAACACACCCTTAGTTATCTTTTGCAAATTGGATTTTGTCGTATTTAATTTCCCTATATAAATTAGCAAACACAATACATGAGAATTGTTTTCGTCTAGATAAAATATAAAGAGGAAATTAAACCAACCACACAAAATGATTGCAACTAATTTACTCGTTGCTATTTTTATTTTTTAGTGTATGTCATCTTGAATATATATTTTTCTTCCGATGTTTGATACATGTTCAAGATTAGTTTTTGTCCCCTATAATGATTACATTAATTAATTTACCTCCAATTATTATTATAATTAATTTTAAAAATTCTGATAATTTCAAAAATTAAGGAAATTGTTATAAATAATTTGTATTATAGTAAATGTCTAAATATGTGGAGTTCTTGTAGGATATGGTTAGAAATTCTACTTGGGGACCAAGTAAGGTTTTTCCTATAAATAAAGGGTTTTCCCATTGTAAATAAGATTTGTGAAAGATCAATAAATCCTGAATATACTTCGGGAGAAATAAGAAATCTTTTCTCTTCTCCCTGCTTTCTTCTTCTAAATTTATATAGTTTCATAACAGAAATTGATTAATAACTATTTTTTCATTAAAAAAAGTCAATTACTCCTACACGTGTACAATTCCTTCTCCTAAACTATAGGCACATAATAATTCATTTATCTCCACTTTAAATAATTTACATGAAAAAGTAATAATATTTTTTAATAATAAATAAGTATAAAAATAAAAATAGATATTTGATTTAAAAAACTAAAGGTTCAAACAACATATAAGTGGATTATTCAATAATGGTACATAGTATTAGGTAAATATATTAATTTTGAAATGAACTAAAATATAAAATCAAAATTAATTTAGTTTTAATATTTTTCATCATCTATCCTTATTATTAGAGGGAGAAAATTTATTATTATCTATTTATATCTAATAGGAGAGAAAAATACAATTACTATAAAATGAAATAAAATAAATTTATCATTAAATCAACAAAGATAATTTAAAATTTTAAAACAAAATAAAAATTTCAAAAATACCAAAAAAAATATCTCATGTATATTTTTTTATAAAATAAATTTATTCATACAACTAGGACCAATTTAGTTCTTTTGATCTTAAAAATTAGATTCTTTTTTATATTGTTATTAGATATTAAATAATCATAGTAATTAAAATTTAATAAAATTTCCCACTTATAATTTGACTTGAAGATTAAATAATATTTTTTAAATGCGTGGTTTTTAATTATGCATTTATAAAACATTTAAATTTGTGTTTTGTTTAACTTTTATAGTATTACATATTTGATGTGGAGAGTTGAAATTTGATTTTTTATAAGAAAAAAAGTTTTATAATTGCTTAACATTAATATATCATGACATAAAAAATGTAGTTAATCATAACAATTAGAATAACATTATAACAAAAAAGTTATATTGTAAATATATTTTATAAATTACTTTTGATTTAATCATTAAGACGTTTGAAACATCCGCTTAACATGTAATATATGTTAATACTAATTCTAATTAAGGGAGAAGCAATTTTATCATTTGCACCACATCTTGAATTGGTTCTCGTCTATACCCTATTATTATTATTCTAAAATCTATCCAAGAAATGATGTTTGTTTAAATTTTATTTTTTAATTTGAAAATTCATTAGAGATAAGGAAAAACTATCTAATTACACAAATAATGTAACCATGTGTAAGTATGAATCTGCTGTATAATTTGAAAAAAATTACATATTGTCTCACTAATTTTATAATTGCATATTAGAGTTCAGTCAAATACACTATTCTTACAAATTTCAAGTCACATACATGTATCAAAGACACTAGATGCATTTTGAAAAACAAATACACATGGAGAGGGCGAGTTAGATAATCAACATGATACATGTATCCTTGATAGATACATTCTGAAATACAGATGCATAGAGATGAAGGTGAGCGAGAAGTTAGTGTGTATTTTAGATAAATGTGAATCACAATTAGATATGGTGTATCTAAAATAAACTACACCTAATTTGACTCGCATGCATTTGAAATGCTTGTATATAATAAAATAAATATGATGCGAAAGATAATTCTGAAAAATAAAAAAGGCCGATGATTAAGATATAATCTTGTAAATTTTGTATTGTTTGCTCTAGAAATAATTTTAACTTTTTGTGTTTCATTGAGTCGGGGTGTGTACGAAAAGGGTTTATCGATTGTACAACGACTTAACTAATAAAAAGTTATTAATTTCTCTATTGTACTTATTAGAACTAGCAATTAGCATTGTCCAATTTTAGAGAGTGAAAATATGTACTTTTGGTGATAAGCAACTTACCAATTTAAAAGACATTGCTAAATAATAATTAGAGTTTGGTCAAAATTTATTTAATTTTTTTTTTAAAAAAAACTTGATCAATTATTCTATTTTTAGAATATATATATTTTTTACTTTTTAAAACTTTGATAAATAAGCTAGCACTGAGTTCATGTAAATTAATCAAGTGCCCTTTATAATGATGTTTTAATACATCTAGTTGTTGTTGAGTTCGAAAGTAATTAGGACGTCATACGAAAATTTATAATTTCAAATAATATAATATTAAACGACACATAAGACTATACTAAAAGACATTGTTATATGATGTAGTCAATTAGCCTACATTTATAAAACTAATTAAAACCCTTAAAATTGTACAGATAAAATCTCTCTTTAAACAAGGCTTTCTAAATGAGAAGAGGGGTCTTCAGAGTTTTAAAATTTTTCTCTAAAAAAAGAATAAACCAAACATAGAAGAGAATTATATTTTCCTTGCAAAAAATATTATGTATTAATGATAATATTTTGACTTTTATATTAAAAATAAATAAATTAAATAAGGTAAAAAAATCAAAACAAAATCTCAATACTAATGTCAACTATCAAATATCCAATAAGGGATTCTATAGAGATGAGTCAAAGGACTAGTTAAGTGTTGCAATACTTTTTGTCGATAAAATTTTAATTGAATTGGTAATTCTGTTAATTATAATCATACATGCATGGACATAAAAAAATGTAAATATTGTAACTATAGGAGGGGCAAACAGGCAAATTCGGACTGCTATGGAAAGTCAAAATTGGGCTAAATGAAAATGAATAAAGTATTTAATTTATTCTTATTTAACACATAAAAAAATTGATTGATGGATCAATATTCATGTTATTTATGATTCCAGAAATGATTAGGTAAAAACAGAAGATAAAAATCAAAATAAAATCAAAATCTTATGATTTCATAAATAATTAGATAAAAACATAAGATAAAAATCAAAATAAAATTGAACT